TTGAGTCATATTGCATTTGGCGTGTTTATGTTGCATTGTATAACATCTCCATGTTGCATACATTGCATTGTGTTTGGTTTGGGGTGTCAAACCAAACACGAGGAACGAGGGACGTTTCATACTTAAAGTGATGAAACGTACCTCAATTCTCGGTCGCCGATGCTCTTGATTCAGCGTGATAGAGTTTTAGGCATTCATTGTGTTTTTGTGCATTCATTTTACATTGAATTGCACACTTGGCTCCTTTGGCCATCATACATTGGAATGTGTGATTGGTGGCCCAAGGGTCGAGCACTACACACCTTTGAGTCTTAAACATGATAAGGAGTGTGGTTGCACACACATTTTCTTGCAAATACATTGCCATGCCTCTGTTTGTGCTCTGTTGCAGCAAAAAGGAGAGTTTGCAGGAAGAGATGGCCGATCGGTACAAATATTTGGCCGATAGCCTTAAATTTGGCCGATGGCCATTGTTCTTTGGCCGATGACCACTTCTCTTGGCCGATGACCTCTCAGCATGTCTATGAGGTGAATCAGAGGTGTTTTGGAGATTTGCAGAGTTTTCAGAAGTCTAAAACAGTGCAAACAGAGGCAACATGAGGCATGACATTGGATTTTCGAGCGAAGCCGACCAAGCATGCATATGCCCCTCTCCTCAAGGCTGTTTTAACTGCTTTGTGTAGTTAGTTAATTCGCTGTTTAATTAGTTGATGTATTTACTAATTGATTCCATCAGTGTAAATTCTTAATTAGCTTAGCATAGCTAATTTTCAATTCGGTGTTGTAATAATTAGTCTAATTAGATTATTAGATTAGTTAGAATAGCTTAGCGTAGGTAGCTAGTTTATTTATTCGGACCCTCTGTCGAGAGGGCGAATTTTGTAATAAGTGTGCGTAAGTGTGTGAATGTCTTCCAATCCCACGTCTTTCTCCCTTTTACTTAACCGCTTACGATGGTTAGTTCTAGGTAATGTTTTGATTAGCATCTTTATGCTTGCATGTTTGCATTCATTCATCTGTCTTGCATGCATCGGGCTCGGCACATCATACTATCTGCATTATATTTCAATACCGATTTGAATACATGATTATTAAGTTGCATCTCATATGCCATCTTAGAATAGCCGAGCCTATTTCTAGCTGCATTTTGCACGTGTTGCATTAGCCATCTTAACCTAAACTAAGATCATGCATTGATTACTAACTAGTTCTTTGTTTTGGCTCGGAGTACACTGTGAGTGTTTTCGCTTTAGCATCTTGCATGAGTGTGAGTGTTGCCATGACAGCATGCTTGCCATGAGGCTATGTGCTTATTTGATATAACTGCCGGAATACCTATGGGTGAAGGTTGGATTGCTTGAATTGGAACAATTCATCGAAATGCGAGTTTTAAGCCCACTTGAGGGTGATAAAATCATGTTTTCTAAGCCCACTCGAGGGTGGCAAATCCACGTCTTAGCCTACTTGCGAGTAGCACCTTCAAACCATTTTCAAACAAACAAACATGAGTTGTTTTGTTCCAACTTAGGCGATCTAGGCTATACTTGTGTGTTGTGCGCATCACATAGTAATTCTAGCTAATAACCGGAATAAGAACACATGTGTTTTCAAAAACAAGATATCATGTTAGTAAAGGCCGATCTTTGATCGGGCGAGCGGGGGTGCTCATTGCATGACCTTCCCCTCTCGTACCCAAGTTCCCGAGCCGAGGCAACTTTGGTGATGACGGACACGTGGCCTTAGGCACGAGTCAGGGTTTCCTAAATTTCCCAAAAACAAAATATTTAGGTGGCGACTCTGTATCTGGCAAAGCAGTCCATGTTTGGCACTTCTTTATAAAAATTAGTTTTCCAAAACGATTTGCCGGATTTGGACTCTTTGATGATTTATCAATCTCGCATTGCACTTTACGAGATTAGATCCAGGACCGTGACATTGAGTCCAAACTGTAGTAGCTAAGAACAAAACGGATTTCGCGGCAATCTCGTGCGCGAAGCCCGAGACGTTCGAGCACGTCTACACATTGGAGATGCCAAAGCCATTTTATAGCAGGTGTTAGTGAAAAGTGCTCTCTAATGACAAGTTTTGGCAGCTGTTATCTTTGGCAAATGCCAAAACATGTGTAAATATGGCACAAGCTTTGGCAGCTGCCAAAGTTGCCAAGTCACCAAAACCAACCATTTTCCCCTCCCTCCCTCCCTCTCTCATCATCCTTCCCAGCTAGTATTTTCCAAAAAAGAAGCAAAATTCACCAAAAAATAATCAATTAATCAATCTGAAGAAAAAAAATAAAAGAATAATTTGAATTTCAGGATTTCAAGTAATATGAATGAATCAATTTCAGCAATTTCAAGTAATCAATTTCAAAAAAAAAAAAAAAAGAATTTGAGCAAGATAATATCATAAAAAATACCTGCAATTTGACAAGGAATTTGGCTTCATCTTCATCATCATCATTGTCGTTATCAACAAAAAAAAAAAAAAAAACCCCCAAAACGATAAGGACAAAGAACAGAGATAAGAGTATTCAAATTAATTAAACTCAAAACTAAACATGATATGCATATAGATACATTCTATATATATATGGAAAACTAAAAAAAAAAAAACGAACATGGGAGAGAGACAGAGAAATCAAGCACAAAGAGAAAATGAAAGTTACTGCAAAAGGTATATATATATATATTTTCTATGAAAGCTGATACTAAAGGTATATATATGTATTCCATTAATGGACTCCTAATTTTCTTTGCATTTCATGGAATTGAGCTTTAACTCGCCGGATCTGAGCTTTGACATTTAATTTTCTTGGTATTTCTATGAATGGACTCCTATGAATGGACACAAAAACCACTATCATCTCATGCATGGGGTCAGATCTGAGCTGATCTAAACTTTCTCTGTTTTAGATCGAGAAAAAAATATACAAATCCACGGTGACGAATTGAGGTTTGTGTAGCTTGTAGAGGAGCGAGATCAAGGAGCTTCTGTATCTGTCTGTGTGTGTATGTGTGACAGAGAGAGAGAGAGAGAGAGAGAGAGAGAGAGTTTGGGGAAGAATGGCTTGGTTAGGGTTTGATTTGGAAGATTTGAGGAGATGAAAGGAGAGGAGAAAAGATGAGAGAGAGATGAAGATTGGTGAGAGGAATGAAGAGAGAGCAGAGAGATAGATAAAGACAGAGCTTGGTGTCATAGATAGACTTGGGAGATGACTTAGCAGGAGGGTATATAGATAGATAGATATTGGAATGCACATGGATTGTTCTAGATAGATAGATGTTGGATTATATAATCCAACGATGCTATTTTATTATTGGAATGCACATGGGTTTGAGCAACGGCTCTTTTTCTTCCTCTTTCAAACAACAACTATAAATTAACAGTCATTTTCTACAAACGGTCATATTTTGTATTTCTATAAATAGAAACCCTTAATCTCAATTTCATTTCACACCAAACATTTCAAATTTCATTTTTCTTTTCTCTTCTCTTTATCTGAATTTCATTTCACGCCAAACTTCACAAATTATTTTCATCTTAGTTTTTTCATAGAATCACTATGAAAGGTTCATCAAAAATAAAGAGAGGAAAATCATTCACCATTCAAGAAGATGTGGCAATTTGTAAAGCTTGGTGTCACATTACTGAAGACCCAATTGTTGGGAATTCACAATCTCATGCTCATTTTTGTGGAAGAATTTTTGAAAATTATTGTTCATTGCAGAATGATCACTCAAGAATACAAGTATCTATCTCATCTCGAAGGGGTGTAATCATGAAATGTTGCAACAGATTTCATGGGTGTTTAGCGCTAGTCGAAAATCTACACCCAAGTGGGATGTCTCAAGTTGATATAGTAAGATTTCATCTTCATTTATTATGTTAGTTTTTTTTTATTTTGTCTTATATAAAATTTAACTAATTAATTAATTTAATATTTTATTGATACAGATGCTTCAAGCAAAACTGTTATACCATCAAGATGAAAATAAACATTTTGTTTTTTAACATTGTTGGCCAATCTTGCAAAACAATATCAGGTGACAAGATTTAGCTCCTACGAATACGGTGAAGTCAAGGATACATACACCGTTTTTCCCTGATTTAGCCCTCGATTCCCCTATGGATAACTGCATTTCTCTTAAACATGACACTAGTCCAAGTGTTGGTAACAATCTAACTGTTGGTAAGGGTAGTGTCTCTGCAAGGGGTAAAAAGCCTATGGGTAGGAAAGCTTCAAAAGAATTATTTCAAAGAAATCAAGTGATTGAAGCTGAAGTCCAAAAAATGAGCATACAATTGGAGACATTTAACCAACACCTTGCAGAGAAGGAAAAGAAAAAAGATGAAAGAAAAGGAAAAAAATGATTCAAGCACTACAGGAAATGAAAGAACTTGAGATAAGAAAACAAGAACATGAGATAATGACTACGAATATTTCTCTTTTGGACCCTCAAACGAAAGCGTATTACACAATGCGAAAAAATGAGATTTTTGCCAAGTGGTCCTCAAATGTTAGCAGCCTAAATTACTATTTCCCCATGCCTCATGATGAATAATTATGGGATAATGTATTTTTAAATTTTGCAATGTCATTTAATTTTTGATGTAATTGTTAGTTTTTATTTGTAATGTAATTTTTATTTTGTAATGAAATTTCATGTTTTTTTATTTTTTTATTTTTGAGTATTTTCTACAAAATAATGTAATATTATTTTTGCAATGTATAATGTTGACTAATTTTTATTATAATTTAAAATTTTCAGTAAAGTATAATGTAAAAAAATAAATATATTTTTTCAAATGAAGGCAATAAAAAGATAAAATACATTAACTGACATTAAATGAAGATAATTTTATTATAATAAAAGGACATTAACTGACATTAACTATCATTAAAAAGATAAAATACAAACTTACTCTAACTCTCCATCTCGGGACCACAAGTCTTCAATTAGATCATTACGAATTGCGTTATGGGCTTCAGTAGATCTAATCCTCTACCGATTCAACATAAATTGAGCATACTCCTCATTTGGATCGTGTGACACTTGACAACAGGTATTATTGGTTTTAGTCTCAAGTTGTGCTGCACTGCGTTCATTTTCTGGAATATCACACTCGTCTTCAATGATCATATTGTGCAAAATAATGCACGTCTTCATGATGTAGAATAGATCCTCATCACTCCAACCTCTAGTTGGAACTCTGACAATAGTAAATCGTGCTTGGAGCACTCCAAATGCCATTTCGACATCCTTCCGACATGGCTCCTGCATCCTCGTAAATAGTTGTCTCTTTGCACCTTGAGGTTGAGATATTGTTTTCACAATCGTTGCCCAACGAGGATAGATACCATTTGCAAGATAATACCCCATGGTGTACGCGTGATTATTGATGGTGTAGTTGGCAGCAGGGGCACGTTCTCTAGTTAATTTAGCAAATAAAGGCGACCTGTCAAGAACAGTAATATCATTTAGAGAGCCAGGCATGCCAAAGAAAGCATGCCAAATCCACAAGTCATAGGTGGCAACTGCCTCGAGTACAACTGTTGGTTTGTGGTAGTGTCCAGTGTAAGCACCGGCTTGGACAGTTGGACATTTATCCCAACGCCAGTGCATACAATCCAAACTCCCTAACATTCCAGGAAACCCGCATTGCTCTCCCTCTTGCAATAATCTAGCGATATCTGCTTCATTTGGGGCTTGTTTGGTTTGTATTTGAGAAACATGTTTTGAGATAAAAAGTATGAAAATTTGTTTGGTTTGGTTTTTTTTCAAAAGATGTTTTGAAAAATTATTTTGAGAGAGAGTTTTGGAAAAAGTGATTGATTTGATGTGTATGAGAGAGAGATTTGTTTGGAAAACTTGTAAACCAAACAAGTTTTGGAAAAAAATTTTGGGAAAATTTGTTTGGTTTGATTACTTTTAAAAACTTATTTGTAGAGAATTTTTCCCAAATTTTTTTGAGAAACACAAACCAAACAAGGCCTTGGAGATCTTAAGTAAACGGCTTCATAGGTAGCAACAATTGATCTGGTAAAAAAAATTCAAAGTGACAATTGCAGTACTTTCGCCGATTCTATTGTACTCGTTTACAGCATCAGTAGGCGCACCGTACTGCAGGATCCAAAGTGCTACAATCATCTTTTGTACACCGGATAATCCAAGAGCACCAGTGGCATCACGAGTTTGGATAAAGTACTTATTCACTTGTTGAGTATCATGTAAGATACTAACAAACAATGACCGCCTCATTCGAAAACGTCTTTGGAGGTATTCTTCTGGATAGACAGGATTATCTGCAAAATAATCTATATAAATTTGTTCGTCGCCTTTGACCCTTTCACAATTAATGTATCGACGACCACTTGTGGGACCAACATGTCTGGTTGGTTGGTTTAAGCTTAACGTCTATATTTTTTGTTGTTGCACTGTGAACAGTTGCATTATGATGATATCATCATCAGATGATGAAGATTCATCAAAATCTCCATTGAATATGACTTTAGTCAAATTGTTCATTGCAGGTAGATGAGTGAGTGGGTGAATATGTAAATTGTAGAAAATCTACTGGGTGAGTACAGAGAGTTTAGAAGATATGAAAATGATGGGTAGGTGAATATGAAAATTATAGAAAACCTTATGTTATATTTATGGAGAAAATTGTGGGCGGTGAATGATGGATATTTGTTGGGTAGGTGGATGAATAATGGATGGTTGTTGGATGGGTGGCTAAATAATGGGTGGTTGTTGGGTGGGTGGATGAATAATGGATGATTGTTGGGTGAGAACTTGTTGGTGAATAAATGCTGGGTTAATAATGGATGGTTGTTGGTGGTTGGTTGTTGGTGATTGAATGATGGATGAATGATGGATGATTGTTGGTGGGTAATTGGTGATTGTTTATTTTTTATGTGTAGTTAAAAAAAATTATTAAATATGTAGTGATATATTTTTTGGTGGGGTGAATTATATATATATATATATTCTAATTTTTCATTTTTTTATATTTGTCTAGTTGGAAATAATATAAATATATAATTTTTTTTACAAACAGGTAAAAAAAATGTCACAAAAGATAAAAAATAAACAAAAATAAAATCACAAAAAAATCTATATCCAAACAACACATACAAACTTGGAAGGAAAAATTGGTTGAGATTTGCCAAAATAGCAAATGATCATTGGAGCACCATTGCTATAATTTGGCAAAATAGCACTATTCATTGCCAAATTATAACAATAGCAATGACATTACAGCAACAATGGTTAGAGCATCTCCAATGGTTGTTGCTATATTGCCATTGCCATTGCTATAATTTGGCAATAAATAATACTATTTTGCCAAATTATAGCAATTGTGCTCCAATGGTCATTTACTATTTGGGCAAATCTCAACCAACTTTCCCTTAAAATATGTAGGTGTTGTTTGGATATAAGTTTTTTGTGATTTTATTTTTGTTTATTTTTTATTTTTTGTGACCTTTTTTTATCTGTTTATAAAAAAATTATATATTTATATTATTTTTCGACTAGACAAATATAAAAAATGAAAAAAATTAAAAAAATTGGAAAAAAATATAATTAATATATTTTTATTATAATAAAATTATCCTTATTTAATGTCAATTAATATATTTTATCTTTTTATTACCTTCATTTCAAAAAAATATATTTATTTATTATACTTTATTGAAAATTATAAATTATACTAAAAATATATTTTTTCATTAAAAAAGTATATTTATCTTCATATCCAAGCTGATATCAAGTTCCAGAATACTCTTCCTCTCTCTCTTTCACACATCCCATTGTAAAGTCACACATCTCCATTCCATTGCAGAGTCAGTCTCTCACTCACTCTCACCTTCTTTCTCTCATCACATTAAACCGTCTCTCTCTCTCTCTCTCTCTCTCTCTATATATATATATATATCTTTCCGTCTCTATATCTCTCTCGGTTTCCATTGATGAAACTGGAGCTTGGTTTCAGTCACTGATCTATATCTCTTTCCGCCTCTCTCTGTCTCAGTCTCCATCGATTGAACTGTCTCTCTCTATATCTCTTTCTGTCTCTCTCTCTCAGTCTCCATTGATGAAGTCGAAGCTCGGTTTCAGTCACCAATCTATATCTCTTTTCGTCTCACCAGCTTGATTTGGACTCTCGGTTTCAATCACCGATCAAGGTATGATATATTTATTTTTTTATTTTTTTATATCAATCTATTAGGGTAAAAATCAAAGCTTTCAGATTCTAATGAAGATACATCTATCATTGATTTTTTTGAATGTTGTTTGAATGTTGTTGTTTGAATTTGTTGGAGAAAATACCAGAAACTAAAAAAAAAATAATATCCTTATCGAATTTGTCTTAAGATTGTCAGAAAAAATCTTATGTGTACTGTTGGAGAAAATACCAGAAACTAAACAATATTATTGATACATGATGCAAAGAAAATGAGATACAAATAGATCAGGCTGAGGCACGGATATCTCGTTTTCTTTAAGGAGATCAAGTCCACTGCGGTAGGAAGAATCCAAATACCGATGTAGCAGTCACAACACTATGACTTGTCCCCTCCAGGATACAACAGCCCGACCACTTGTCGTATGGTTCAGGCCAACTCTGCACAAGATGGTGAACCCAAAGCTCCACCAATAAAACACCCTTCTTTGCTAGTAATCTCTCTTGTATAGAAAATAGTTGATTTCTATAGATAGAAAAGAGTAGACTATATATATAGGCTAGAAGGACCTTACAGTTACACCAAAAATAATGACCATTAAACAAGAAAATGGTTACACCAAAATAATGACCATTAAACAAGAAAATGGTTACACCAAATTAATGACCATTAAACAAGAAAATGGTTACACCAAAATAATAAAACCCCATTTATGAAAAAGATAAACCAATAAATAAATATAAGATATTAAAATGGTCCAACAATCCCCCACTCATTTTAATATCAACAAGGATAAAAGAGATTACCAAACAAAGATAGACTAGTATGCATCATGAAGGTGTGCTCTGCATTGAACCTTCATTAGTGAAACGGTAACCTCTACTCCAGAGTCAGTAGTGGTCTCAGACTTGAATTATGACTGCTTAGGGGAAATAAAGTATTACTGCTCACACATAATAATCCAGGTGTTGACATGAGCTTTAATAGCCAGCACATTACGGCCTTGTGCTAATCCCAGTTTTCATGAGCATATTTGAGAATAAACCTTGTTCTCATAGAAAGCGGCCCCACTTTCATGCTCACATAGGTGAAATCTGTCAAGGATGTTCCTGTAATTTACACACCCCACTCAACAAGAGCTACAGAATTTCATTAAGAGTATAAAAACGCAACCCTCCAACATTACAGGACAAATGCACTTACATCATAGGGATGGATAACAAAATATTAAAGGGTGCCTTTTTACAACCACCATATGATTCGTTCTTCCCATTGAACCTAGTTATATTGTGTTTCCTTCGAATAGGTCTGCATTTACCATTATAAAAATGGTTGTTCACTCTACCAATAGCAACAGTGTTATCATAACGAATTAACACAGGAGGAATTGGTTTTTCCCAAAAAGGAATTTCATGCAACAAATCTCTCAACCAATTCGCTTCCTCACATGCTGAAGCTAATGCTATAAGCTCAGCTTCCATTGTAGAATTAGCAATTATTATCTGTTTTTCAGACTTCCAACATATAGCACCACCACCCAAGGTAAAAATAAAACCCGAGGTGGAGAGAGAAACACCTGACAAAGTGTTCCAATCGGTATCACTATATCCCTCAAGTACCGCAGGATACTTGTTCTAAAACAAACCATAATTTTTTGTTTCAAATAAATATCTCATAATTCTTCCCATGGCTAGCCAATGATCTTGACTTGGTTTGCTAGTAAACCTGTTAGGTACTCCAACAACATATGCAATGTCAGGTCCAGTACAGTCAGTAGCATATCTCAAACTACCAATCATGCTAGCATATTCCTTTTGATTAACCACTTCTTTTTCATTTGTTACAACAGACAAATGTATGCTTGCATCAAAAGGAGTAGCAACATGTTTACAGTCTAGAAAATTATATTTCTTTAAAATTTTCTCAACATAATGCGACTGATCAAGAAAAATATAACGCCCTCAAAATAACAACAATAAACCCATCAGATACGACATGCGTTTACATATAAACTAACCACATTCTTTTATTCATTAGAGTTCCATTACATAAGTATTACATGTTAACATCATAAACAAAATGCCCTACGGGCTTACAGCTTTCCAAGTTAACACTTGGTTACAACAAAAGAGTACTAACTCGTTTACACATTAAGCCCTTGGCTTGAAGTGACATGTAATACATCAAAAGTTAAGCGACAAAAGTATGTCCGCCACTAGCCTCCCAGCTAAGTCCTTGGAGGTGGCATGCTACCTGCACCTGAAAATGATATTCCCATAAAGGGTGAGCCACAGCCCAGTAGAAATACACTAAACCAACCATGGACAATGACTAAAATATTAGCAATTGATAGATGGCCAACACTGATACTATCACATAAATACATATTTATGTCATAACACTTATGAGTCCAAGTTACCTTTCATTTTCCCTTTTTCAACAGATAGCATGTAG